CACACGCACACACACACACACACACACACACACACACACACACACACACACACACACACACACACACACACATTGTTTGTGGCCCACCGTTGTCATTCTGCATTATGTCTCCACAGCCTGGCTTGCAGTTGGTTCCCTGTGAACAGCTCCTGTTCCTCACTGGTTTTCTGTGTGCTTTTATTCATCAGGGCAGGAGCTTTTCAAACGTCGACCAATCCTCAATCACCTTCACCACTTAGCCATCCACATCGGTGACACACTGCCACATAATTGGCCAAATCAGTTCTGAGATTTCCACCAAACCAATCAACTCTATTTGAATCATATGTCAATGAGACTTGAGATGTTGATGCCAGAAAGAGACCAGATTCCTAATCTTTTATGATACTGAAATAAACAGCTAAACATTGGTGTTGTAAAGTACCAACAACCATTCTGATTTTCTGGTTAATATATTTGAAAATTGCAAAGAAATTTTAAAGGTGTAATGTGTTTGCATCAAAACATTTTATAACAATGTAGATGGCCGTCTAGATCAGATTGTCCCTCCAGTGAAGTGAAAGATTCTTTTCTTTTGTTCATCCTCTCACTTGTCTTCAGAGCGATCATTGGAGAGTGTTGGACGAAGCAGGCAGGAGTCTCTGAGCTCTGTGGAGGAGGCTGACTATGACACGCTGGAAGACATCGACTCAGACAAGAACATTGTCCGTACCAAGGTACGCCTTACGCATTACTCGTATTTCATTAATTTCAAGTCAGCATTGCTTGTAATGGGTAAGATGTGAATAATCACATGCCATCATGTTTGAACGTTAGCATTTTCTGCTGTTGTCAGTAACATTGTCCTTTTCTTATTATAGAAATATCTCTGCGTAGCTGACCTGTCCCGCAAAGACAAGAGGGTCCTCAACAAGAAATACCAAATCTACTTCTGGTGAGACTGAGAATGACAAATTGCATCAAAGAGTAGAATCAACTACAATAATCCAAGAACAAAGTTTACTTCACATCCAGTTTACAGCCATCAGATCCACACATTATCAACAAACTTGTAGTTAATGGCATTTTGCCACCAGGTTGACATTATGTCATATTAAATACAAAAAAAAAAAATTGATTATGAATTCTGTGTTGAAATTATTCATTTGCTCTCTAGCTGTAGCATCTTGGAGTAATAAGTGAAACTAAGCTTGTTGTCTCAGTAATAAAATAATATTGTTATTCACTAGTTACAGAGAGATATATGTAAATAATATTAATAATGAAGCACAATGTCCTTCCAGCAACTCTTAATCTGTTTTATTATGGACATTATTGATGTTGATCTTTTCAGGAACATCGCCACCATTGCTGTGTTCTATGCCCTGCCAGTCGTCCAGCTGGTCATCACCTACCAGACTGTAAGAAAAACAAACTGTAGCCAAGTTTGTTTGGGTAGAAAGGTTCTGTAAGAAAACAAATACACAGCCGTGCACTGTTGGATGGTAACCGGACTTTCTTCTTTAGGTTGTCAATGTTACAGGAAACCAGGACATTTGCTATTACAACTTTCTGTGTGCCCACCCACTGGGAGCTCTAAGGTATGTAGATACAGCAGCTAACAAAACGGCTAATGGATGACAAACCTGTGGTAAAGCATGCTACGAATAACTCGATTTTTGTCCTACACAGTGCATTCAACAACATCCTCAGTAACCTCGGTTACGTGATGCTTGGACTCCTCTTCCTCCTTATTGTGCTCAGGAGAGATATTGTCCACAGTCGAGCTCTGCTTCGCAACAGTCTCAACGCACTGGTAAGGCACAGGCACTACTGTACACTGACATACAGTATCTGACACACTGTAAGGCACAAATCAGTTAGCTCAGTTTTTGTGTCACCCAGCAAAAATGAGTTTCAGCTGTATTCCTAGACCGAATAAAGTGTTAATGATTGAAAACATAAACATTAGCTTATTTTGTTAGACGCAAATGTTTAAACACTGTGACGTTAATAAGAACACCTCTTTGCTTTTCTAACATTTCCATAAATTACAGTGTTATATAGCGATTGTATAAATGGATCAGGAAATGGATAGTACTGAAGACGAGAAACAGACACACCCAGAGATATGCAGCACATTTGGAATAAAGAGTCTAATGCATACTTATTCACATTCAGTTTTCCTCTCTCCCACCATTCAGGAGTGTGGTATCCCAAAACACTTTGGCCTGTTTTATGCTATGGGAACTGCTCTAATGATGGAGGGCTTGCTCAGTGCCTGCTACCATGTCTGTCCCAACTACACAAACTTCCAGTTTGGTAAGTGTGCTTCTGTTCCCACTAGCATTTCATGTGTCATATGCAGAATACTACTAGCAACAACTAACAGTCTGATGTGAAATTTCTTCTCTGTCACACAGCTTTCTGTGGGCTCTTTAAGAACCTTTTTTTTATGCTAAGACAGCTTCAGCCATTAATTGACACAGTTATTGAAGAAGTTTGCAGAGAGATGGTTCTGTACCTTAGAGGAAAGCGGTTCAGGTTCAGTTTTTCAGTTTTGTGTGAGGGTATTTGTTAGAGCTCTCTTAGAAATTGTCTTCCAGTTTGTTGTGCTCAGCCTGGCATGCAGAGCAGACGGCAGGAAATGAAATTTTGTATTGTAAACGATACTTACCAGGCAGGAAATGTAATTCAGTCTCTCTGTAAGTCACATTTTACTTTATGAAAATAGTTAAAGCTGGTCATTTGCAATAAAGGGAGGCAACGGCGGTGAAGGTTCAAATCTCAGTGCCTGCAGTCCACATGTCGAAGTGTCCTTGGGCAAGACACTGATCCCCCCATGATAGCAGCCCCTTCTTCTTCTTCTAAAGGCAATAAATCCAAGCTGTTGTTCAGAGATGCAGTCTGCAGTGATTTCTCTTACTGTTTTTAAATAGTAAAAGGTATGTACTGTATATGTGTGTGTTGTAATATTCATTACTTTCTTTGTAGACACTTCCTTCATGTACATGATTGCCGGCCTGTGTATGCTGAAGCTGTATCAGAAGAGACACCCAGACATCAACGCCAGTGCTTACACTGCCTATGCCTGCTTGGCCATGGTCATCTTTTTTTCTGTGCTCGGAGTGGTACGAACACACTTGCACACACCCCAAATGAGACAACGTCTGGGTGATGGTCAACACACAAAACCACTCGTGCATATTCCCAAATGTTTGTGATGGTCTGTTTGCAGGTGTTTGGCAAAGGAAACACAGCCTTCTGGATCGTCTTCTCGGTGATCCACATCCTGGCCACTCTTCTCCTCAGCACGCAGCTCTATTACATGGGCCGATGGAGGCTCGGTAAAGTCACAGCAACAAGGACTGGAGTCCTAGTTGTTAGATATAAGCAGTGGTTCATATTAGTCCATGTGATTTTAGTTAGAATAACATTTTTTATTACCAGGGAGCTTCTCGTATTATTGTTTTGTTTCCAAAGGCTAATACTGAGGTTGATGGATAGGAGGTAGTTAAGGTAATTAAGGTGCCTGACATCAGTGGCTGATGTTTATCTGTATATTTGTGTGTCAGACTCTGGAATCCTGCGCAGGATTGTGTACGTGATCTACACAGATTGCATCAGACAGTGCAGTGGACCTATGTACATTGTGAGTATGACCAGGAAATTAGGCAAAAACATGTCAACATGTTGTCATGGTTTAGTAACATCATTTTCTCTGGCATCTCCCTCCAGAGTTTTCAAAGAATCTCAGTGTTTGAGAGTGTAATTACTATACTGTAAATGCAGAGAGACTTGAGATGCAGTGATATCCTCAGATGTTGCCTACAAATATACATTTTACTAATGTGCTGGAGTAGAGAAATGTACAAAAAGCCATGTCACTGTCCTGCTACTCGGAAATAACAGTAAATGTATTAAATTTCTTGTTTTATCTTTCACCCACATAGGACCGCATGGTTCTGCTCGTAATGGGGAACATAGTCAACTGGTCTCTGTAAGTAAACACGGTGTTTCTCTCTAACTTAAGTAGCTACAAATTACATTTAAATCCAGAGAGCAGAAGTGACAGATGATACCTACTTCTTCCTTCCTTTCTGCAGAGCTGCCTATGGGCTCATAGTGAAGCCTAATGACTTTGCCTCCTACCTGCTGGCCATCGCCATCTGCAACCTGTTGCTCTACTTTGCCTTCTATATCATTATGAAGGTGGGTTTATCCATTGAGTTCATGCAGATTTATAAAATAGCAAACATTTTGTACTGTATATTTAAAGATTTTTGTGTGTGTGTGTGTGTAGCTGCGGAGTGGTGAGAGAATCCAGTGTCTGCCGTTGGTGTGTATTCTCTTCACAGCCGTAGTGGGGGGTTTTGCATTGTATTTCTTCTTCCAGGGCCTCAGCACCTGGGAGGTTAGTGATTCACACTCCTATTACATAGTATCATATTCCTTTTTTATCTACTGAATCTTTGTGCTCCTTCATACGGTGGCATCATTTTACCGTGTGCTTCTGTTGCCTGACACAGAAAACACCAGCAGAGTCTCGTGAGCACAACAGGGACTGTATCCTGCTCTCTTTCTTTGATGACCATGACATTTGGCACTTCCTCTCCTCCATTGCCATGTTTGGATCCTTCCTGGTATGATCATATTTGTTGTGTGTGTGTGTGTCTTTACACACATCATGTACATTCAAAACTGACAAAAATCTTGTTCTGGGTGTTTAGAATTTGCTTAACATACTAAAACAATTTAAAGTAAATGTAAGTAGGAGTCAGTACAGCAAATGTTTGACAAGGCTGAAAGCTTAAAATATGTGATATTTGTGTATATATAAGAATATTTTTGAAAAGGGAACCTGTAAACCTGAAACTGTGCATTAATCCCTCACCCCTCTGGTTTCCTCTTAGGTCCTCCTGACCATGGACGACGACCTCGACACCGTCCAGAGAGACAAGATCTATGTCTTCTAGATTTGCCAGATCTTCTGTGATGACCTCAGCTCTTCCTCTCGGCCTTATCGCACTTCTCTCTCTCTCCTCTCCATGTTTTCAAAAAGCACAGCCAGTAGCCTATTTTTCCCAGGCTGTATAGAGGCGCCTCTCTGCTTCTCGCAGCCAATCACAGCAGGTCAGGGAAAGGCTCCCACCTGTATGGACAATAATGTCCCAATAAAGAGCTGCATCGACATTGAGTGATACTGAAATGTTTTGTTCTCTCGCTGCCATTGTCGACATAACTTTTGTAATCAGTGTCACTCACTGCTGAGTAAGTTAACATTGTAAAGCACTTTTATATCGTCTGCATTACATTTGACCTACAAGTCAGTGTATTTTGAAATTACTGTTTACATGTTTATATGCTGTGTGTGTTTGTACAGGTGTATGTGTTTACAGACATGAATCCTGTCCATGTCAGTGGCCTTTAATGTTCTATTAATAGTCACATACTGTTCTCTGATCGGTCAGACCCTCAAACTAGCCATTCTTCTCACTGGAGAATATTGATGATTTACTTCTCGACTGCCCTCATGTCTGACTGTGAAGGTATTTTGAACAATACTGTTTGAATGTTTAATGTCAAACACTGCAACGAATGGTTACTGAATAAAGGGACAAGGGTCTCAATTTGAGATACGTGGTCTTTTTCTCACTGTTTGTGTTGCGATGGCAACTTCTAGGTTTAAAACACATACTTCAGATGCTCCATAGTCTCTGAACTTAAATGTTTTATTGATAAACTCTTGAGGCCAGCTCATGTGACACATTTGGTTTCTCTGTATGAATAAAATAATCAGGCTGTGAATATGTTTACATATATGCACTTACAACAGTACTAGCCTATAAGAAGATCACTGCACAAGAATTACTTGAACAAAGATAAAATTTGATGTATTAGATAGTAAAATACAATATGCATCAACACAAATACATACACAAAGCATTTCTTCCTCTGCCTACACATACTGTATGTTACTGAGGTTTCTTTATTTTGGAGTTTCTATCTAAAAGTATTGTGGTGATCCTTCACTTGGCATGTTATGATGTTCTAAATTGTTATGGTTCCTTGATGGGTGTGGAGCTTCAGGGGTTAAGAGGTGTGAGAGCGGGAGGGAGAGAAGTGTGAGGGGGATTTGTGTGGGGGGGATGGGAGCTACGGAGGGTGTTAGCAGGTTGTTTCTTTTTCTTGTTGTTGGGCTGTTTTGGCGTGGCTACGGCCAACAGTAACCGGTTGTGTGGAGTTAATAAAAAAGCGACTATTCGTTGGCACTCACGGTTGTCTTCCTTGTGTCCTGCGGGACACTACAGTATGAATGAATATTAAATTGCAGGATACATGACATTTTGAGAGAACGTGAATTTTGAACATTCCGTCCAGTCATTTGACATTAGTCATTTGAATGATAAATGTCTGAAAAATGTTGACTTCAAAGATAT